GGGATCCGCCGCTCTCATAGTGAAAGGGGTCCAGGGGTCTTATCCGGGAAAATTTTTATAGTTACGGATTAAAAAAATAACGTTTCACGACAAGTGTGCGACGTCACAGAGTGAAAATACTCAGTTACCCACACAGTATCCAAAAACCAATACCAACTATATACTTTCGCATACCAGGCTGTGGTTTTTAGTTTTTTCGCAGATCGCAGATTCTCGGAAAATTGCATTGGATCTTAGGGAGATGACGCAAAAAAGTGCCCCCCCTCCCCCTCCTCGGTGAGAATTTACACAGGGGATGAATTCTAATATCAAAACCTAGGTAAGAGATTATATAGAGAGATCATTTGGCACTTTAATAAATTTAACTGTGGGTACTTTCTGAAGAAAATACCTCTACAACTTCCTTTTCATTTTATTTCTTAAAAAATGATATTTTCATTACGGCCGGTGTATTGTGCTCAGTATTCATTTTTTCTCTCGCATTTGTCACCATTTCTTTTCAATAATTTTTTCCTTAAATACACGCATCTCTTCATTTAGTGCTTCAAATGCCCCTTTTCCAATCATACTTGCGTTTACTATATTACCCTCGCTAATCACACAAAAAATAGCTCTCTACCAAACGGGAGGAGGTTACTTCAAAGTTCAACTTTTCAGGTTACCATGTCAGATCGCCTTCCATGCATAGTGTAGGCAACATGGGCTCCCACGTGGTCGAATAGTGGTATCACCATGAAAGACACGTTTATTTGGAACGCACAAAAAATGCACGTTCACCGAGCACAGAGCGGTGATCCTTCTGCATTGACAATTCGCCTACAATTTACAATGTAGGCAAGATGAGCTCCGCCGTGGTCGAATAGTTGCATCACCACAAATGTCGTGCTTATTCAGAGCTCACAAAGAATATCCAGGAATAGTGATGACTTCAACGCCATGTCGGTTCGCCTTCAACTATTGGCGTAGGCAACATGGGCTCTCACGTGGTCGAATAGTGGTATCACCGCGAATGTCATGCATCACAAAAATATAACATCGAGCTCTTGCGTACCACAGAGATTTGCAATTTAAATACATCTTCTTGTGTAAAATTTTCCGAAAAACTCAATGGTACCCGTTTTCATTTATAATGTGCTCAATCCCCACCCCTCATCTAAAAAAAGAAGAGAAAGACATTGAGCAGCAGTCAACCCCCCCCCCCCCCCCCCCCCNCCCCCCTTTACACCGTGCACTTTTTCAAATTTCGCATTAAGCAGTAGCTCAATCAATCTCTGTATCTTAATGGATACCTTGCGACTGCCTTGCGACTGGAAGTCTGTTGTTATGAACTTATGAGGTTTCAAGAAATTAAGTTTCTATTTAATATTAAGTTTTCTTAAGGAGAATGTAGAAAAATTACTTATTCATTAAATATAAACAAATCATACACATGTACTAAAATTTTCCAAAATAGCTAAAAAGTTTTGGCAGGAACAGTCAGTAGCTAATCAGAAACCATCTTTTTCCTGCCCCTTATGCAACCCGTCCGTCAAGTTATGCAGTTCTTTGTCACTCCGCTTTGATCGCTTCTTCCGCTTTACGCTTCGAGGTTAGGTTAGTGATAAACTTTATTTACCTATACGGGGACAAATCTTTTGTTATCAATCGTTTTCTCGTTTCTCTCCTCTCCGACTTTCAAAAATCATCGCAAAACTTGTAATGTTAATATAAAGTTTTTGATCTCCTTAATCTCCTGTAACCAAGTTGAAAAATATCTCATATTTAACTGGAATTATTGTGAATAATTGAGTATCTGAGAACTCCACACACAGTAGGTCAGTTTTGCTAAATGTCTACAGGACTCAACATAGTTTTTTTCATGTTTAATTAAAAGTTCAGCAAAACAGCAAACACTCACTGCTTGTCACGCTTTCTGATTCTCTCTTTTCTCGAGTTTATAGAGTGTTACCTTTTTTAGTAGGTTGTGTGCTGTAATATTGTGATTTCTCCCTCTTGATGTAGGCATTCAAATGAAAGCTCACTGATATGGCTCCCCTAGTTTTCTCTTCATAGCTCGCATCTAGCTTCTTATCAATACTAATTCGTAAGTAATCTACCTTAATTTTTTTTAACAACAGCCCCTCTCACTAAAATCTGAAATGCGAAGTAGGGATGACCAGGAAACTGTCCTTTTCAAATACTAGCATCATATCCTGCTTCAGTGGAGTTTGCTTTACCTTAGCTGTACTTTTAAAGAAAGTTTCATAGCAGTACTGGGTATATCTATTGACAGGGGTTCAAATTGTATATTTTGCTTCAATATTCATCAGAAAATATATGCGTCAATCAAGTAATCGCTACGCTCCCCAAGTCCTTTATATTGGAGGGACTCCGTAAATATTGACGGTCTTGCTGCCTAGTCTTGGCAACTAGTAATCTCATAGGGAAGGAATCCTCCCTATTTATAATAGGATTCCATCTACAGCAGTTAGAATTGCTTAAGGTCGCTCTTCTAATTAGTCCCTCCTTCTGTGGTATATTTGTCGGCTGTTTAAGTACCTTGGTCTGGTTTGTGTATCATGAGTGTGTTTAGCCTTCGCAAGTGAAACATCAGTGATATTTTCACAGAAAATTTCTGCATGGTGTGAAGAATCGTTCAAGTTAAAAGATATCCCTTAGTATTGCCAAGGAAAAGTAGTTTCAAATGAAATGCATGCAGTTCAGGTACTCTCGAGTTTTAACACTATACTTAACCCTCAATCGCAATCGTCTGATCATGTTTGTCAACAAGCCTTATAGAATTTTTGACATCCATGAATTCCTTAAATGTACATGAATTTCTAAGTACTCTTTTATTTTAAAAATGGAATTAAGTCTATGAAGACATAAATCATGACAGATCATTCTTATCCCTGTTAAGATAGTTACGGCTTGCCACCAGGATATGTCAAAGTATATGCAACTCTTCCTCTCAGGATATTTTGGACGGTCCTGTTCAAAATAGTCACTTCTTGTATCCCTTTTAAGCAATTTTCATGAAAAGCACACAAACTCCTCTCTTTTCTCAGAGGTTGTGGTGTTCATACCATAGTTCCTTCTTTCTAATCTAATTAATAAATTGTGTTCAAGGTTGTAGTGTTACAATTGTGTTTGCTTCTCAACTTTCAGACTGTAAAAGGGACTCTACAAACATGAATTTTGTACTGCACTTCAGTTCAGATTTCAAGCTAGTAAATAACCTGTAATGAGTTTCATTGAATCGATTCTCATTTTAAGAGAAAATCTTCATAGTATGGTGACATCGCATCTAAACTAGTCTGATTGAAGCGAGTTTGAGGCCTCTTCATCAGAGACAGGGTAGAAAGTAGAGCCCAGCCCTCCAAAAGCTTACTGACGATGGAATTTTAAAAAAGTTAATTTGAAAGAAGAGGAAATCTGAATTTTCATCTTGGATCAAATATGTATGCGCATTATTATTACGTTATATTTTATTCGCTGATTTCAGGATGCGATTCAACAATTCCTGATGCAAGAATCATTATCTTGAAATGGGGTCACTATTGAGTCTTCTGTCACGAGATGAATCAAACTGTTGTTCTTATCAGAAGTATGATGTATTTCTGGATTTTGAGAGTAAGTTTACAATGGAGAAAATTCACCGCTATTATTGATCATCAAGAAAACAAGACAGTAATCCACCCACCTAAGTATTTTTGTTTTTTTTTAAATTACTTGGAAGAGGTGATGTTAAGTTATTGTGTGCCTGCACTTCATGTCATTAGAAAGACCATAATTTTGTGCTTTTACTCAGGCACTACTTTGTCAATCTTTTAATCTGTGGATGGCAATGCTTCAGTTCGAGGGCAATTTAGTGTAATGGACCTGAAGGTCTACCCGTGTAATAATGAAGAGATTGCTGCATTGCCATATATGAATCCTTATTTTACCAGTATTGTCTCATATTACCTTTTATCTAATTGACGTCGAAAAAATATTTGATTCCTGAAAAAAATTTATATCTTTAAGTTGGAATAATTTTCTTTTTATTTTTGTATTATCCTCACAGATGCACAGCCAACGCCAGATGAACGACTCGTGTATATGGAAGTGCAATCTGTTCTGGAACAATGTGATATAATTTTAGATGAAATTCAATGCTACAAAGGCGCTGGGAAAGAAATTCGGGAAGCAATAACAACACCCACGGAAGAATGTCAACTGCGAGCTTGGAAAACAGTGATGCCTCTTGTTGCTAAGCTCAAACGGTTTTA